GGGACGCGAACCGCGGTCGACCACGTGGGAGTCCAGCGACATAGCCATTACGCTAACTGCTGGTTCCCATCAGCTTTTTCATAATATGCCTTCTCCTTGAACCTTTTGGAAGACCACTCACCATTACAAGGTCAAGAGGACGGGGGAGGGAAAAGGTGAGGATTAGGTCATGAAATGCCTTCGCATGCCCTACTAAAGGGCATGTACTTTGTCCTGTAGGCATAGGGAGCTATCACAGTGTTTTGAAGCACAAGAATAATCCAATTGACATTTTAGAATGATAACTCTGGTGGAGGTGAGAAGTGTACAAGAAGAAGAGAACGGTAAGGCCAACTTTCTTTACCAAAGAAAAGGAGACAAGTGAGGAAGTATCATAATAGTCCTGGGAGAGGTGTAAGGACCTACTTGGTTAAGGTTGGGATTTCCATTCGTAGAATTTAGTATTTGAGATGATGAGTTATTAGGTCTTTGGGAAAGTCATGACATATTTTTCTATGCAAAAATGCATCATGACTTCTCCAATGACCCAATATTTAACTCACAGATTTTAATTTTTATCCCAGTAAGATTTCTTATAGTAATATGTGGAGCATAAATCACATTTCCTGTTTCTTATATTAAGTGAAAGGCAATATAATCCAATTCCCCTTTGAGCTTTTCAAGTATCTTTGAAGAAAAGATAAAGATTGAGAAAGTTACCTGCAGAATACATATAGCCAAATGGTGTTTCTCACTGCGGTGTTTGTGGGAAGAGTATGTTGAGAAAGAATTATCAATGGATTTGTGGGTGAAGTTTTACAGTTAGACTAGCACGAGAGGCTTTTTTCTTATATTTCCACAGGCAGACCAATGTTGATGGTGATCCTTTCCCCCTGTTCTGTTTCACATTTTACCTCGGGAATAATTATGCTGCTAATGGGTGCTATTACAGAGTGCTGCAGTGTGCCAGATACCATCCTAGTACCTCATGTGTATTGTCTCTTTCTCCCATAACAGCACTGCTAAGATGTGATAAAATACCCATTTTACAAATGAGAAAATTGAGATCCGGAGAGGTAAAATGATAAAGCCACTAGGTATTAAAATTGGGACTAAAACCTAGGTTTATTTCACTCTAATCTTACACTTAAGTGTCACAGGCCCCAGGCAGTAAGCCTTTTCATTTTTTCCCACACTGCTAGTCCAATTAATTTTCCCTACCCTCCCATACCAATTTATACTTAGAATAATACACTAAAATATTGGTTCCAGGCCAACTAGTAACAATTGTATTTTTGGAATTATCTCCTAGACTACCGTTAATCTTCAATAAATATTAATCAAAATGAGCCGAGAAGCTTTAGGAGCTAAAAAGGAAGACATTCTAAAATGGCTAATTTGAGTTCTTGAAAGTATGCTTTTACCGTTTAAATGCTTTTTCTTGGACTTGTTATTAATGGTATTTTGGGTTTTAAGTGACCAGCCACTTGAGCTCATGACTTATAATTTCATTTTATCAAATAAAACCATCATCATTAGCTTCGATGAAAATAAGTTCAGTAGTGCTGTTTATTTCCCAGGCCCTGGACTATCTCCTGTGGGCCAGTATATGCATGGAGTCCTCGGTCCCACTCCTGTCCATCCGGTACTTGACATGGAGAGCTACTCTTTACACTGCAGTCTGTCAGTGCTACTACGACTGCCAAGCTGGTATTCATGGGGAGGTATGTTCCTTTTGAAAAAAGAATTATTTATTTAATTTTAATGTTTATTACTATGATTTAATTTACTATAGGGCACATGTGTTTACCAGAGAGAGAGAGAGAGAGAGAGAGAGAGAAGGAGAGAGAGAAGGAGAGAGAGAAGGAGAGAGAGAGAGAGAGAGAAAGCAAGCTGCCAGATCTGGGACTCAGACAGCAGTTGGTCATGTGGGAATCCAGCACCTTAACCATCACACCATCTGCTAGCCTCACCCCCTTTTAAAAAGCTTTTATTTATTTCCTTTTTTTTTTTTTTTCTTTTTTTTCAGAGAGATTTTTGCTGTAGAGTGCATAGGCTCACAGAGAGACAGAGAGGTAGAAAGTGAGAAATCACCCAGGGAGAATGGCCATGCCGCAATCCCTTCTCCATTCTCCTCTTGGGATTTTAGGTATGCACACACATGTGCCCAACATGAGTTTAAGCTGCCCAGGTCCAGGGCTTGAACTACAGTCAACTATGTGGGAGTTCAGCAGCGTAACCATTCTGCCATCTGTTGGTACCAACATTTATTTATTTAATTCTTCTGAGAGAGAGAGGTAGACAGAAAGAGAGAGAGAGCACCTCTGACAAAGTGTTCACACTTCCTCGTCTCAGTCACCCCAGATCATCAGCTCTAGTGTGTGCCCACATACTGAGGGAGGTCCTGGTACACAAATCCAGGACCATGCTCACGCGGGTCCAGTTACACTACCGCTGTGCCACTTCCTAGGTTTGGTATATTTCCTGTTAATTCTGACGATCCGATAATAATTACATGTTTATGGCATAAACAGTGATGTTTTGATATATGCATATGTATTTTTTTTTGGAGAGGCTTTCGATGTAGGGCACGTGCGCTCGCCAGACAGACAGAGAGAGACATAGAGACAGAAAGTGAGAAATCACCCCCCAGGGAGGATGGTCATGCCGCAATCCCTTCTCCTCCATTCTCCTCTCAGGATCTTGGGCACGCACGCACACGCGCCCAGCGTGAGTTTTAAGCCACCGGGTCCGGGACCCAAACCGCGGTCAACTATGTGGGAGTCCAGCGAAATAGCCGTTATGCTAACTGCTGGTTCCGATATATGTGTATATTGTAGAGTTATTATATCGAACTAAATAATGTATCCGTCACGTCACACAGTTACTATATATATATATATATTTTGTAGAGACAGTATTTATAAGTGACTCTTTTAGGTCCATCCCTGTAGTTTTGTCTGGATTTTCTTTGCCTCTAACTAACATTTAATGCACTATTTCTTGTTTTTCCTCTTTTCCTGCACATCTTTTAGACTGAATACTTGAAATATAACGTCACATGGCAGGGCTTTTATTGGCCTGTGAAGTATCTCTGTAGAAATGAAAAGATATCCTCACTACAGTACATGGCACCTGGCTTGGTTGGTGGAGGAGGCCTTGGTCTGAATTAGAAATAAGCACCCCTTTCTTTGAGCTCCCACATCCCTACACCAGGGTACATGGCTTGGTAAATGGAGTACAAGTTAGATTTCAGCATTAACTCAACAGCTTGACTGGGAAGTCTTATGCAAGATACAGCTTATAAGTTACACCTGTTCAAGTATCTGTTTATATCCTGCTCACAACCATAATTAAATCATCTGTCCAGTTAATGGTTTCTTTGAGTGTAGTTTAAAAAAAAATACGTTATGACATTTTCGATGACCTAATAATTCCAAAGGGTTGGATGATAGTGACCCATAGGCGGAGGGAATAGCCTAATTCAACCCTTGTGGAATACTTTTGTGGTTCAGTAAAATAAATAATTATTTATTTTATTCCAGAAACTACTTACCATTTATGCAGTTAACTTCAGTGTACTAGTGGTGGCATAGTTTGTTCTTAGCCACTAAAATGATCAGGGAATGGAATATTTATGTAGTTTTGGTATTTTTTCTTTTTGGAAATTTAAACCTTCCACATATATTAATATTGTGGTTGGTCTAGAAACATTTTCCTTAAAATTATAAATTTTGAATGAAATATTTCAAAGAAATGGTAAAATAAATGACATGAACTCTTATTGCTTAACTCTTTAACTCCTTCGAACCTTCTTGTTATTATCTATAGAATTATACTAATGGTGGGGACCAGTAGGTGGCATGGTAGTTAAGGCTCTGGACACTCCCACATGGCTGACCACGGTTCAAATCCTGGACCTGGTGGCTTGCTTTCTCACTTCTCCCCCTTCTCTCTCTCTGTGTGTCTCTCTCTGTTCAAATTAAAATAAATGAATAAATAAAATTAAATAAATAATTCTTCAAAGAATTATACTAATGGTGATATCATTAAATAAACAAGCCTGACCTTCTTTCTTTCATCATTTCCTCAGATATTAAGTGCTTCCAATATGTACAGGAGTATAGGAGACACAAAAATAAGTAAGATCCTATAAGGACTTCATAATTTTGTGGACAATATAAACAGTTGAGTAGATAATACAGTATGTTACAGCAGGAAGGTTAGGATTTATTTTTTAAATTATTTATTTTTTTTATTTTATTTGTTATTGTTATTTTCTAATTTGACTGGTGAGGGAAAGGACAAGTGAGAAAGCAAGCCACCAGGTCCAGGCCTTGGACCCTGGTCAAAGTGGTCCTTTGTGGAAATCTAGCACCTTAAGCATTGTACCACCTGCTAGCCCCTGGAAGGTCAGAATTTGAGAAGAGTATCTGAGCATCTGAGGACAGGTGTATATGCACACATACGTACATGCACTCAGAGCCAAAGAAGTGATAATCTGTATAAAGTTACTGCTTAGCCCATATTTGGGCATTCTTGACTTTTTTGAATTTTAGAGTTCATAAAGTTAGCGTAGTTGACAGATTATTAACTTTAAATCTACAGTTTTATGGTACTTACAGAAAATAATAGAATGACTAGCTCCCATGTTATAAGCAGTCAGCATTAGCTTAGAGTTTAATTCATAGATTAAATCAAGTGTCTAGTAGAACAAAACATACTGTCTATCCATTTTTAATCTCTATGTTTTAACTTACTATAAATTAATTTTAATTGCATGTAGGCATTTGCTCGGCGTGCTTTAGCTAAAATTGATGAATTAAGGCAACTGGAATTAATGAGTTCCTCACGATCACAGGAAGAATCCAGAAGATATTATAGAGAGGCCACGATAAAGGTATAAAAATTTGATGAAATTAAATAAATTTACAGCATTATATAGTTGATTAAGTACTTAATATTTGCAGTTGAGAAGTGCCTCCATTGTTATCTCATATATAATTCTTTTTGAGGCAGATGGCGGTGATGATCTTCAAAAGAGGAGTATTTGAATCTAGAAGGAAAAACAAAGCTTTCTTTAGACCAAAGATAAGAGTCAACCTAAGGGAAGTACAAAGTGTAAGTCTAAGAACATCTTTACTTAAAATCTTTTGCAGTAGGTTTGTGTTATACCTCCATATATTTAAATTTTAGTTACTGCATACTAAATCCTGCCCCCAGTTCTCTGCACCAGTGGACAGAGAGAGAAGAATGCTTTCCAGTTTGGACATGGCCTTACTTCAGCCCTTCTCGAAGCTTTCATGCGTTAGCGTAACCCCATTTGTACAACTTTGAAGGATAAGAAACTGCATTAGGAGCCTGGGAAAGATTTGAATGAACAGGCTCTTGCAGACGAGCAGGCCTCTGAGTAGTTCTGCACAGGTCTTGTCTTTGCTCAGTGTTAGTGAGTTTTGGGGCTAGGGAAGAGATGGAGGCCCTTTTGGTCATCAGCTTGAAGGCTTACCTTTGGGAGTATTCAAGAGCTAGTTCATAGTTGCTACAATAGTAGCAACCAACAGTCCCCATGCCTCAGGTGGCTTAAGACAACCATTCATTTCCCACTAGAGTCATATGTTGTTATACTTTTCAGGGTGTTTTGCTTATGAAAGCTGCTCAGGGCAAGGCACAGGAGAAGAGATAAGAGAGGCATAAAAGATCTTTGGAGGATCTCACGTGGGCTATGATGCTCAGCATGGAAACAGCATGTCTCTTCTCCCATATTTTAACTAGCCACGCAACTCTTCTATCCACAAGCATATTTGACAAACAGAACTAAGGATTGTCACAGGGAAGTGAGAGGGACCGAGTTATGCCTTGTGAGATCCTCTGCTGTCTTGGCCTTCCTGCCCTGTTGCTTTTCTTATTGTTTCTCCCCCTGCCTTTCTGAATCTCAGTATCTTTCAAGGCCTGGTTCTATTTCTCCTTGAGCTTTCCTGACTGAGATGGCTATAAACTTTCTTTTGTGCCTTTCTGAATGGGAACTGAAAAATGAAAATAAGGGAGAAGAGGATGAAAGGATTCTGACAGAAGAGATGCAGAATCTCAGAACCTGAAGGCATTTAGAAATCATCAGATCTGAGTTCTTTGCTATTACAGATGGGGAACTTGAAATTCTCAGTATTTAAGTTACTGGCTCCAGGCCATAAAGCCAGCTGCTGGTAGAATTGGAACTTGACCTGTCCTTCTAACTCCAAGCTTTCTCACTACTCCGATGACTGCGGCTCCATTTTCTTTGAAGTTCTTACTACATTGTAGAGTAATTTTTAAATACTTCTTTTAAATAGATGGTGATTTTCAAATGTGAATAATATTTGGACGTGATAGCTTTCACATTTTGTGTGACTATATCAATTACTGGCAACACATTTTATGTGTTGCTTTGCTTTGCTTGCTTGCTTTCTCTTTCTTCCTCCCTCCCTTCTTCCCTCCTCTCTCTCTTCCCTCCTCTCTTTCTTTCTTTCTTTCTTTCTTTCTTTCTTTCTTTCTTTCTTTCTTTCTTTCTTTCTTTCTTTCTTTCTTTCTTTCTTTCTTCTCTCTCTATAGGGTGCATGTGCTTGCCAGAGAGAAAGGAAGTGAGAAATCATCACCACCCTCAGCAGGGATGTCCATGCTGCAATCTCTTTTCCTTCATTCTCCTCTCAAGACTTTGGGCACGCATGCACATGCACCTGGTGTGATTTCCAAGCTGCTGTGTCTGGGACTCCAGCCACAGAGTTGGCCATGTGGGATCCAGTCCCTTAACCTCCATGCCACCTATTGGGCCTGTACTGCTTTTAAATTATATCCCTTACTAACCAACAGTATATAATTAGAGGGAATAGTAATTTGCCAGATTGTAGGCTGTTCTTTGGATGAGTTGTTGAATGCTACATCTGGGATGACTGAGTAGTAATATAGTATATTTTTAAGAGAACAGGAGATGATTTGCTTTCTCACTAGCATTTTTTTTTCCTCTGAAAAACCAAATTAAGGAACCAGCAGTTAGTGTAATTGCTATGTCCCTGGACTCCCATGTAGTCAACCACGGTTCGAGTCCCAGACCTGGTGGCTTAAAACTCATGCTGGGTGCATGTGCCAAGATCCTGAGAGGAGAAAGGAGGAGAAGGGATTGTGGTGTGGCCATCCCTCCTGGGGGGTGATTTCTCGCTTTCTGTCTCTCTGTCTTTCTCTGTCTGTTATTATTATTATTATTATTATTATTAATTTGCCAGAGAGTATGTGCAACTCATTGGAGAAAGACAGGAGGAGAGAGAGAAGACCATGTGTCACCTTATGGAGCAAGGTCACACCACAATCCCTTTTCTCCCACTTCTCCCTTCTTGCAGGATTTTGGGTATACATGCACAGGTGCCTGGCATGTCTTTCAAGCAGTTGACCATGTGGGATCCAGCTGCCTTAACCACCAAGCCACAAGCTGACACTCATGGGTAGTTTTTACAAAGAATATTTAATATACTATTTCAAAATTATTTTATTTAACTTTGTTTATTTATTTGCTTTTAAAAATTTGACCAGAGAGGGCCATAGAGAACATGGAGGAAGAGAGGGTGAGAATGGGATGGAAGAGGAGACTGAGAACTTCAAGACAAACTGACAGGTCCAGGACTCAAACTGCAGTCAGCCATGTGGGAGTCCAGTGCCCTTAATCACCATGCCACCTGCTGGCCCTAACATACCATTTTTGTAATGCCATATTATATTACCTTGATATATTTTTAGAAAGTTCTGTTTTCTATGTATGAAATAATTTTATTATGTTTCTACAAAATAAAGTGATTTCAATATATATGAAACATATTTTCTAAACATTTCTGAGTTTGTAGATTAGTTTTTGCCATAGGGTGGGTACCATTATGCTCTGCAAATCAGTCTTTAGTGTATGTAAATAATTTTGACTTTCAAAAATTTATTTTAGGGTATTATTAATTCAGACTCCCATGATCTACCACTTAGTGACCTATTCAACAAATATTTTTTAAGCACTTGCTATGTGAAAAGATAGACAAAGATTACATTCTGGTGGAGAAATTACATAATAAATAAATAAGCAAAATAATTATAGCCTGTGATAACTATTAAGAAGGAAATAAGAGGAGGGTAGGATTTGAATGAGTTATATGAAAATCCCTTAGAATGTTTTTTGCACATAGTAGACCCTCATTAAATATTAGCTATTATCATTTATTTATTTTTTATTGGAGAGGTTTTTTTTTTTTTTTTTTTTTTTTTTTTTTTTTTTTTTTGGGAGGTTTTTTTTTTTTTTTTTGTTTTTTTTTTTTCTGCTATAGAGCACGTGCACTCGCCAGAAATACAGAGACAGGAGACAGAGAGACAAAAAGCAAGAAATCACCCTCCAAGGGGGATGGCCATGCCACAATCCCTTCTCCTCCATTTTCCTCTCAGGATCTTGGGCATGCACGCACACATGCCCGGTGTGAGTTTAAGTCACTGGATCCAGGACTCGAACCGCGGTCAACTACATGGGAGTCCAGCGACATAGCCATTATGCTAGCTGCTGGTCCCTATTTATTTTTTATTTATCCATGTGACAGTATAGTATTATGTGCTTATTGTGGCCTCAAGTATGACACAATTTAGAAAAGACTAACTAGCAGTCCTGGCTTTTTGAATGGCCTTAGAATAATGGGTAGGATTTGATTGGACAGAGAGGAGTGAGGAAAACATTCTAAGTAAAAAGACCAGAACTGGACCAGCAGGTGGCATGGTGGTTAAGGCCCTGGACACTCCCACATGGCCAACCATGGTTCGAGTCCTGCACTTGGTGGCTTGCTTTCTCTCTTTCTCTTTCTCTCTCTCTTTCAGTGTCTTGTGTCTCTCTCTGGTCAAATTAAGACAAATGAATGAATAAAGAAAATTAAATAATCAAAAAAAAAGAAAAGACCAGAGCATAATCAGAAGGTTACCCATGCACAGTTAGAGCAAGCAAAGTTGTAAGGGGATACTGAGAAATAGAGCTTGACTGAGCTAGGTGTATGACATTGGGAAATTAAAATACATCCATAGAGCAGATTTTATAGACACTGTAGTATTTAGAGGTAAACAGACTGTCATGTCATTCAGATTTTCGTCTACCTGACAATTTTTAAAAATTATTTAATTTAATTTATTCATTCATTTATCTTAACTTGACTAGAGAGTGACAGAAAGAGAGAGAAAGCCACCAGGTCTGGGACTCGAACCATGGTCGGCCATGTGGGAGTGTCCGTGTTCTTAATCCCCATGCCCCTGCTGGTCCCATCTACCTGACATTTTGAAAGATGGTATAATATATCTTGTGTAGTAGATGTACCATAATATGTCTAATATTTCATTACTATTATTTTAGTTTCCAGGTTTTTCACTGTTAAAAGTATAATGCAATCTCTATCTCAGGTATACTATTTTTAAGTTTCTTTTACTTCCTGTGGAAGAATTCAAGGCTTAATATTACTGAATCAAAGGATGCAAACACTTATTTTTCTTGACTTATTTTGCCTAGTTGATTTCAAAATGGTTACTCCTATTTTCAAGATGACAACCTGTGAGTAGCAATTTCACAAAAGGCTATTGTCATTTTGATATGTTTCTATAAACTCTTTTTGGTAATTTAGATTTTACAAAATGGCTTTTCATTTTAACTTTGTTCTTTGATCCAATTTTTCCCTTGTATTAATGTTTACTCTTTATATTTCCTTTATTTGATGGACTAGCTTTCACAATGTTTCACTATTTATCTACTAGAGATTTTAATTTTTAAAATATATTTGAATAAGCTCATTATTTTATAAGTATTAATATTTTGCTTGTCATACTTGACAGCTCATTGGTTTTCTTATTGCTTTAGCTTTAATTCTTTTTCATAGATCTATTAAATATTTATAAGAATTTATGTTTAAAATTTTTTACTTAGTATTCATCTACAGCTCTGATAAATATTTTATTCTACTTTATGCTGGGTTTTCTATGAAAATTTTAAACACAATTTTACTCTTTAATCCGTTTGGGTTTTATCATTTTGAATACTTGTAATTATTAGAAAGTTCACTTACCACTTTAAATACATATATTTAATGCTCTGTTTAAATTTACAATAAAAAAAATCTTAGAAGTAACCTTTACCTTTTTTGGAAGGAGAGAGGGCAGGGCATGAAATTCAAGTTTTATAGGGGTTTTTAACATATCAGTTGACTTACAGATTGAAAAGGCACAGATGCTAATAAGTAGCAAATCTGGTATGTAGAGTAAAACAGTCCAAAGCAATTTCAGTCCCAGCTTTGTTTTTTTGTTTTTCTAACTTTGTTTCAATGAGAAGGAAAAATAAAGGAATTACAGGAAATATGATGTCTTCTAGCTAGACAGAGATTCTAGAAAAGTCAGCTAAAGCTACTGCTCTTATTTCCTGGCATCTAAATGCAGAGAACAGCCCATCTGTCAGAGATAAGAATGAAGTGGGGGTAAGTCAGCTATAGGTCCTGGTACAAAGCACAGTGGCTAGCTTATTAATATACAGCTGATACCTCTTCCTTAGAGTGAACCATCACGACCAAAGTTATTCATATTATAAAATATCATTTCTAATTTAGACCTGAGGACCTTCTGCATTAGAATTTCCTGCAGTGCTTATTAAAAATATTCACCCAGACATTGGATTCTCTGGAGATTTGGTTTTGCATCTAAAAAGCACCCCTAAGTGATTCTTAAGCTACCGAAGTTTGAATGTCAGTTTCTTAAGGCTGTAATTAAGAAACTATAAAGCATATGGAGATTGATGCCAGCTTAATTAAAAAGACCATAATAAACAGCTTTCTTATCCTGGCTCAGAAACACAAACAGAGAGAAATAGCAACGTTTCTGATGTGTTGGCAGTAAGACATAAATTTTAAAGGAGTATAGAGTGACATTTCAAAAGATGGAAACCTTAAAAGTGGTCATCTCATTGTTGGACTGACCATTGTCTCTTTTAGCATAACTTACTTTTTTTTTTGCCTTATAATATCTTTAAAAAATAGACTGATTTTTTTTTTTTTTAATTCCAGTTGCCATGGCCACGTACCATCACAGAACGACTGTTAGAGGAAATGTTTGACAACACTGCATCCCAGTTTCTGGCTGTCTTGGAAGCTCTTTCTGATTCAAACAGGCGAATATTGCAAACTGGACCTGTTGTTACAGATGAAGTGGAAATACGTGATGTTGTCTCAGAACTCTTTATAGCAGGAAAAGACCTTTTAATAAGTAAATAAGATGTAAAAATATAAAATATTTTTTCTAGCTTGCTATCAGGTGCATGTGCTCACCAGACTGAGAGCGAGACAGAGAGAGAGAGAGAGAGAGAGAGAGAGAGAGAAAGAAAGTGAGC